CATTAAACCTTACCAATACTGATTTATTGATCCTTACCAATACTGATTTACTGATCCTTATCAATATTGATTCATTAAACCTTACCAATACTGATGTATTGATCCTTACCAATATTGATTCATGAAACTTTGCCATTGATCCTTACCAATATTGATTCATTGAACCTTACCAATATCTCTTAATTGATCCTTACCAATATTGATTCATTAAACCTTACCAATATTGATTTATTGATCCTTACCAATATTGATTCATTAAACCTTACCAATATTGATCCATTGATCTTTACCAATATTGATTCACTAAACCTTACCAATACTGATTCATTGATCCTTACCAATATTGATTCACTAAACCTTACCAATATCTCTTAATTGATCCTTACCAATATCTCTTAATTGATCCTTACCAATATTGATTCACTAAACCTTACCACTGAACCCTACCGAAAACCGCCCTCCTTAATTAAAAATTAATGAAATGAATTGGAAACGAGCCACACCTGGTACATGAGGGCCCCGTGCAGCAGCGGCAGCACACACCCCTCGCCCACCGCCACCGCCGCCGTGTAGGCGAACTCCACCAGCCTCTCCATGGCCCGGGGCTGCACCCCCTCGATGGGCACCTCTGCCAGGCCCCTCTCGCGGAGCCCCCCGGTGAACATGGCCCGGAACACGGGGCTGGCGGCCGCCAGCACCACCCGGTGCGCCCGCAGCTCGGTGCTCGTGGTGTCGCCGCCGTGCCGGACCCGCAGGGTGACGTCGCAGAGCTGCCCCTCCAACCTCAGCTGGTTCATGGCGGCCAGGGCGGCCCCGGGGTGCTCGGACAGGGTGTAACGGCACGGGGCCGGGGAGCCCCCCGGGGACGGCGTCACCTCGGCCGGGAAATCCGGGGGGGGCGGTGGGGAGGGGTGGGACATGGCTGGAGAGAGGCGGTGGGACCCCTGAAAGGGGGTTTGGGGGTGATGGAGAGGCTGTGGGGGGGAGAAAATGGGGTTAGAGTGGGGGAAACTGAGGCACGGAGGGTGGGGGCGGGGTTTG